ACTATGGAGCTTATAAGTAAGTAGTAAGATCTAAAAAAAAGAACAAGATTTAGAACCAAAAGTTAATTTTCTATCATAGAAAACCCCATAACTAATGTGCTGAGTAAGCATCCAATATTAATGATAATGACGTAAAAGCGTTGAAATACGTACTTTAGCATAAGTTATTATAGTGTGTTCGAATAATGATGCAAAGCACGTTTTAATATTAATTACCACCAAAAAAATCACATCCATAAACTATGCAAACGACGGAAACGAATTGGACAATATACCATACTCATTGTGATTTGTGACCAAAATGAGTATGGATCCATTTCGATTGTTGTGTCGTCATTTCATCATTGGAAATTCAGAGGAAGCTCTGAAGTCCAAAGCAAACTTGATTTAATTGACAGCGATTTTTATTTTTTAACATATGCATACTGAAAAACAGTAAATAAAAATCTATGTTTATTATTTTCCTCAAGTTATTCATCTTAATTGCCAAATCTAAGAAATGACAGAACTACTTAGAGGACATGCTCATCATAATGATATCTGATTCGGTTTCAATTATTAAGCCGACTTTTTTTTTCCTTTTTGTCATTATTGATTTATTTCTCTTCCGAAACAAATTAGTTGCCTTTTAAAAAATCATAATTCTATACATTTTTCATAATTTTATATCATAAATAACAAAGAATGAATGCCTTCATAAATAACCTTAAATGCCACCAAATTTGTCACATCATTTTTCCAGATGTTGTAAAGAAAAGTCCATATCAATATGAAACAAAAAAACTAGTGAAAATTCAATATGCATATATACTTTATATTATTTCAGAAAGGGTATTCTATGTTTTATATTATTTTCCGTGTGGTAGTCCCGTTCCAATGATTTTACAAATTCAAAATATGCAATAGGCTCACCTAAATAATGAGAAACAAGTAGTGCAATCTCCGAAAAGCTTATCAGTAGATTAAAGATTTTTGCAAATTGCACTATCAAAATCGGCCAGAAATCTTATTGATTATATGTATCTGCTTAATGTTAAGACCCTGCATTTGAGGATATACTTTTTTTTTTGTGAAAAAAATGTTGTATGATTTGATTATTTAAGAGCAGTTCTAGTCCACCTCTATTCCTTATTTGTAACTCTAGTTTATAGTAAAAACTACTCCAGCACCTCTATTTTTAACTCTAAAATAGATCAATGCTATTTTTTCTTGTATATTTGGAGGAATGATGTATTTTACTCTATTATAGATTTGAAAATTTTATTTATAAAATAGTCTTTCAAATTTTAAATCTTTTATTTATGGTTAAAAAATCAATAATAATCTTTCTTTTTTATCAATTACAAAATAAAACTCTATATTTTAGTTTCAAGTGACTAATGACTAGACTATGTGTTTACAAACATTATCAATTTATTTTTTATAATTTTACTTACAAAAATTTATAATGGTTTTTTTGTTTGGCAAAGTTTTCAGAGTTTTATTTTGTTTGTGTTATTTGATTTGCTACATTTACTAGAAAATTGCTATTTAAAATTACTTATACGTAACTATAATTTCTTACAAATTTTTCAAAATTAAAAATTAGGTTAATAAAAAAGAAAACAAAATATACTTGGAACAATTCTTTTTAGAATAACAAGAGAAAAACACATTTATTTTAAAATTACTCTATTTTTGGGTAGAAAATAGAGAATTACAATGAAAATGATCTCTGAAAGAATGGAGTTTCATTGAAAAAAAGAATGGTAAGAAATAAATTATGGCCTAATGATTGTAAAAGATGGGTGCACCAATTATTTGCGATGCGACGAGAACGTGGAATTGAACAGAGTAAGGATAAGGATGTTTTTATTTATGTATTATTCATTTATATGTTTTATAAAATAAACGTGTAAAAAAGCTGGCCTTGTGCTTCTTTGATATGTAGGCTTTATTCTTCACCTTCACTATCCTTACTCCTAGCTACGACTTCCCTACATTTTAGATCTCATAATCAACCTGCGCATAGGGGATATTTATCTTTTTTAGTTTTATATTCCTTAAAACATGAGACCTATAGAGAGTGAAGATTATATTGGTCGGTTTCGATCGACGAGAGATGCAATCCATATGACTCTACTGTTAGTTTTTTTTTCCGATTGTTATTGACGTCTTCTATAGGTATATAAAAAGAGGGTACATGTAGAAGCTAAAAAGACGTCGATTTTACTCATCTAACTTTTGCCGGTCTATATCCAAAATCTCAAGATCTTAGATTTTTGACCCAAAAATATAATCTAACTTTTATAGAGTCATTGTGCCTATCAAAATCAGTTGAATATTGAATATCAAATCTATCGGACTCTACATAGGGGCCGGACGAAGATTCTTTAATCTTTATATTTTCCATGCTTTTTACCAACTGAACAAATCTAACCAAACCAAATTTTTTTTTTTAGAACACACATATCCTCACATTTTCATATTTTATAAGAAAAATGTAGTGAATTAAAAAAAATTAGATGAAGTATAAAATTATTGTTATTAGGTAATTGGATTTTTTTTATAGTTTATAGTATTACCAAAATTTGTAGCTATCACGTGAGTACTATAGTGAAACATGATCGCATCAAAATCAAAACATAGGTAACTGTTTGTTTCCTAAGGTTTTTGCTAAGTCTCCTGCGTAAAAAGCAAATGAAGTCAGATGTTTGAAAATATGATAGGATATTCTTCAATAACCCTCAAATTAGAGAACTGAAAGAGAGACCACAAAGATTGCATCGATAAACAAGAAAGAGTCAGAATAAACAAATAAATAGAGAATTATGGTCATTTAGGTCCTAGTAAAGATGAATCCGGAAGAGAGGTAGTATTTAGTGTTAATAGATGAAGAAAAACAAGGTGTTTTGAGAAAATTTTCCTTTTTAAGAGTAAAAAATATCATATCTTTTATTTTTTTTAAGAAGATGTTGGGATTGCTTAGTATAAACTTTTTACTTTAAAATTTTATTTAGAAAATCAACTGTAAAAATTTTTGCTTTTAAAATAAAAACTGTAACTTTATAAAATTAAAAGTTTCACTAACGTAATTTAAAAAAAAAATGGCTTGATGAGTTAAAAAGAGAAATGGACAGTTAAGACTGTAGAGATAAAAATGAGTAAAAGTATATTTGGTAAAATTTTGATTTTTACAACTTCAAAAAATAATAAAATCTTTACAACCAAACAAAAAGCAGCGCCGTTTACCTGATTTGAGTTAATATACATGGTTATACTAGTTTGTGTGGATCAACTCACTTATCTAGTACGAGGCACTCGAGTGCTTTTTTTTATACTTTCTTTGCTGTTTATGCCTACACATTCGACAAATTGAATTTTACAGGAGTTGTGCCAAGTCTATGCTGTTTTGCCAATTTCTTCACTGCAACGTATTCTGAGCGCATATTCTTTTATCTTGTGATTGATATTTTTCTAGCTAAAATTACACAATTAAAGAATTAGAATGAGAGTTCTCTTTTTTTTTTTGGGGCAACTGAATGAGAATTCTACTTAGTTTAAAGCAGTATATAGAAAAAATATAAGTATTCCGCGTATAACGGAATAGGTTTTATATTTTTCGATAACCTAGTAAAGAGTATTAGGTCTCTCTTACTTTCTAGGATATTGCAACCCGATTAATTAAGAGTCTTACCTTCCCAGGTATTGCCACCCAAATTATGTTGATGTAGTCAGGGAACCTATTTGTTCCTACCTAAATCACTAATCTCCTTACTACTGCAATGACTTGGCCGGATTACCTACCCAAATCACTAATCTTCACACTAAATGATCATCTAACTTAATATAACATATGTCACCTTTTAATTAGTTGATCTCATAAATAATTAGTTGTCTCCAACAATAACACATGAGTCAATGACTTTAAGTACCAATACCATACCCCTATTAGTTGTTATTCACCACTTTATTTTATTTTTGAAATCAATGAAGATAGCATTATGTATCAGATATCTAAAGAGTCTCATTTCATAGTGTCTGATTTAGACCTTAATTATTTTAATGTGTATACTTTTGAACTTAAACTCATCCCAAAAACAGTAAAATTATTAATTTCCAAACGTATCAAAATTTATTTACATACACTTAGATATTATTAATAGAGAAATTAAACAGAGTAAGAAAAAGTTAATTAGTGCACGTCGGAGAGAAGTCTTGGCCGCCAAGACTTGGCCACCGAATATATGTCGAAGTCCCTTTGCTTTACTTTTCAACTCTAAAAAATGTAAGTATCTATTAATAAAACAATAATAATAGTCCTGTAAAATAAATTATAAACAATGACAATTTTTTGATGAAGATTGGCCAGATGCAATTGTTTTTTCAATCGTTTGAATATCACTCACCGCCTAGTAGAAGACTTTGCTTTTGGGTTTTATCTCCCAAAAATGTCACGTTCTTTATTGTTTTTTTTTTAAGGGAAACATAAATATAAAAACTGGTACTTATACAAGAAAAAACTATTTATAGAAAAACTTTGAGTTTACGTTTTATATTAATCAATATCTATAAAATTTTTGTTTGTTTGTAATGCTTCTGGTCACATGCTCTTTTTTCTGTGTTTGGTCACAATATTTTCTAAGGAAGCATATACTTGGAAACTATACAAAAATCTGAGGAAAATAAACATTGTTCGATCCAGAAATTTATATTTAGCAAAAAGGTATTTTCTTCCATTAAAAAACTGCAGCTTTTTTCTTGCATAAATCAAGACTGTATCATTTTGAAATCGCGAAATTGTTAGGACCTTTTTGAGTTCAAATAAATTAAAAAAAAAAAAAAAACTATTGCCCGTGATTCCTTTCTTTATTTGTCAACAATCCATACGCGTGATTAGTCAAAGTAAAATGGAAAAATAAAAAAAAAATACATAAAACAGGACCATATGAATACCATTTTCTCACTATGCCAACTTCGATTTCATAAACCCAAATTAGAAAATAAAAACAAAAATTCCACGCTGTATATCCATGTGTGCTGAGATAAAAGAATAGACTCGACATGCAAGATAAAAATAAATATGGCTAAATAATATACCGACAATTATATTAAAAAAAATATTTTTTCTATGACAATTTGTTTCTCTATATATATAAAAAGGCCTTTTCCACGTCCCCAACAAGCCACTCCCTATATAACCAAGCAAAATAGCATCCTCGATAATTCCTAAACCATAACAACTTCTTTATCTCCTTCTTCTTCAACCTTTGCTTCAATCTTCACCAACTTTTTTTTTTATAAAGATTTTTGCAATCTTCAACAAACTTACCCACAGGCAAAAAAAAAAACAAGTGTCAAACGAAAAAAAACAAGCATGGTGGTTTTGTCACAGCCAGTCCCTTTTGATAACCACATCTCTGTAATCCCAACATACAGACCGGTTCCGGTTCTCACTTCCCAATCAATCCCCGTCGTGGACCTAACCGACCCGGAAGCAAAGTCCCAAATCGTAAAAGCCTGTGAGGATTTTGGTTTCTTCAAGGTCGTAAACCATGGAGTCCGACCCGAACTCATGACCCGGTTAGAGCAGGGAGCTATTGGCTTCTTCGCCTTGCCTGAGTCTCTTAAAAACCAAGCCGGTCCGCCAGAACCGTTCGGTTATGGTAGTAAAAGGATTGGACCAAACGGTGACGTGGGGTGGATTGAGTATATCCTCCTAAATGCTAATACTCAGCTCTCTTCTCCCAAAACCTCCGCCGTTTTCCGTCAAACCCCTCAAATTTTCCGGTAACGAAAACATTTCTTTGTACAAATATCAAAGAACTTATCTTTCTCAAAGACATTACATCACTACTTTTCTTCAAACATTTTAGAAATCGAAGCAGTCACCTTTTATCTTCTTCTTTCTCGTTTTTAACTAAATTCAATGTTTCTAAAAACAATTGGTCCTTAAGAGTTATTAACCATAAAAAAAAACGTATTCATTACATTTTACAGGAACAAAAAAAGACCATGACTTTCGTGGTATCCACTTAAAAAGTAGAAACAGAGGACTCTGTTTTACACTATTTTCCACCATCCCCTGTTTTATTCTCTTGCTCCTTATTTCTAATAGAAACAATGAGCAATTAACTAGATAATTTTCCTACTGAATGATCGTAATGTCACATTCCATTTCTTTTTATATGGAAAATAGTCCATGATTTACTCTGTTTCGTAAACTTTTATCCCCTGTTTTGCTCAATCTGACCGTTTGAGAGTGTTGGAAACAAAAAAAAAACAGAGAGGCAGTGGAGGAGTACATGAAAGAGGTGAAGGAAGTGTCGTGCAAGTTGTTGGAGATGATGGCAGAAGAATTAGGGATCGAGCCAAGGGACAGTCTGAGTAAGATGGTGAGAGATGAGAAGAGTGACTCGTGCCTGAGGCTGAACCATTATCCTACGGCGGAGGAAGAGGCGGAGAAGATGGTGAAAGTAGGGTTTGGGGAACACACAGACCCACAGATAATCTCACTGCTAAGGTCCAATAACACGGCGGGTCTTCAAATCTGTGTGAAAGATGGAAGTTGGGTCGCTGTCCCTCCTGATCACTCTTCTTTCTTCATTAATGTTGGAGATGCTCTTCAGGTCCCTTTTCTTCTCTCTCTCTCTTTCTTTTATTTTTCTTCCCCTTTTCTGTAAAAACGAAAATTTATCAGGTTTTTGATAATCTTTATGTATTTAGGATTTGATGGTTGGTCTTTTGAGACATTCTTGCAGCTTAACTGGCTGGTCAAGATGCATAAACAAAGAATTTTCGTGTTTTTTTTTTCTTACTAAAAAAAAATAAAAAAGTGTTTTTTTTTTCTGATGTAAATTAGGATTTTTCTCTTTTTTTGGTGCCAAATTGGGATATCAAGGGAGTGATTGAGATCGATGCGGAGGGTAGACAAAGATTCTCACAACTATTTCTTCTCATCTTTTTTTTTTTTCATAGAAAAAATAGTTTCGAAAATAAAAATATAAAATGCCGTTGTAGAGTTCCTTTTTCTTGGGTGTACGTCTAGAAAATCTATCTAGACACTGAACCTCACGTGACAATTACTACTATTTACATGATGGGCATGTATGCAATATATTCTTTTACAAGTGCCATTTCAAAAACAAACAAAATATACAATGTGTGTATTCTTTTCACCTAATTTTGACTCTTACAACATTTTTCAAAGTCTACTTGACTACTTCCCACAAAAGACACCATGTGTACTAAGTTATTAACAGTACCCGGTGATTGCAGGTTATGACAAACGGGAGGTTCAAGAGTGTAAAACACAGAGTCTTAGCTGATACAAGGAGATCGAGAGTCTCGATGATATATTTTGGAGGACCGCCACTAAGCGAGAAGATAGCTCCATTGCAATGTCTTGTCCCTAAGAAAGAGGATTGGCTTTACAAAGAATTCACTTGGTCTCAATACAAATCTTCTGCTTACAAGTCTAAGCTTGGTGATTACAGGCTTGGTCTCTTTGAGAAACAACCGCTTCTCACTCATAGGTGTACTGTATGAGACTAGTCCTGATGATCCTTATCATCCTTTGTATGACAAAAAGAAGGAAATGGATAGTCTTTTGGATTAGTTTTTATTTTTGGTATGTTTTTTTCGTTAGGCACAAAAGCATTAGGCTTTGCTTAGAGTTTGACCCAACCAAACCTACCTTTTGTATCCTCTCGTCTTCTTCTTCTTTTCTTTTTGCCTGAATTTGTTCCTGTTTTGTTTGCCTTTCTTGGAAATAACAATTACTGTTTATTTTTCTCTTTATGATTCATTTCACCTTTGATTTTTTTTTTTTTTGCCTTTCCATTTCCCACTGTCTTTTTCTTTATTTTTACTTTCGTTGTTTTTATTTTTAAATAATTTTTACTTCGGTGTTAATATATAACAAATGATTTGTTATACCTAAATTTTAAAGTGTTGCACTTTATGTATGTCCTCACGGTGTCCTCATGCAATACGAAATTATATGATATTTCTCTTCGCTTTTCTATTTTTATGGACTTCTCGTCTTTATACATATATATGTAATTGAGTTTTGACTTCAAAAATAAAATAAAATGGAATTGAGCTTTGTGTTAAACATGGTTTTTAAATAGCTTTATGATGACGCTAAAGCAATTACATTTATGAGGTGAAAAACAAGGCTTATATATATATTACTCTTCATTCATGAGGTAGCTTGACAAGAGGTATATATATATATATATATATTTTTTTTTTTTTGGTTCACTAACTTTATTGGTATAGAATAGAGATTAATAGGATGATTAATACATGAGTGTGAACTGTAAATATTAAGTTGATTTTTTTGGACATCTTAATGATTTTATAATAGGATTAACTTTTTAAAAAAGAAAATAAACACGACCTGTTTTAAATTGAAATAATTGGGGAAAGTTAAGTGGTGACCACAGAGAAAAAAGGAGAGACAGGTGCGCGGGTTCTTACAGCTTTTAGAAGTGTACGAAATGTAACAGAACTGTACAGTTACTGTCGTAATGTCGTTGGTTATGACTTTCATTTAGGCACCAATACCCATATATTTTCATTTTACTTGTTCTTTCATTTTCTTTTTGAAAGAAACTTGTTCCTTCATTATACCAAAGTATATCTTAATTCGTTTATATTAAGTAGTCATATCATACGTACGTAAACTCATCGCCGTTTTGAAATTTCGTAATTTATTTTGAGTTATTTGTCAAATTTAAAATTTTAGTTTACATTTTAAAGAAGTTTGGTTCGTTTGAACAAGTTTTGAAAACCGTTGAATAGATAATTTGTTGTATTCAGCGCTAAACCACCGCGGACAAATCCGTAAGATCATTTTTAATTAATTTACTTGGAGCAGTAAATAGTATGAAAACAGTTTTTGGTCGTCTCTTGTCAGACTTTCAGCGTGACACATATAACATAGTATTTCATATTTGTCTTTTGTTTTACATTTTTTACGTCAATAGAATCCGCGATACCCACCATCCTAAATTATAACTTTAAAATTAGTAAGTTAGTTACATAGTTGATCCATTAATATTGTTACTCTATTTTGTGCCCAATACCAGACTTCCTCATTTCAATAAAGTTGTGGTTGTACAATGTTAAGATTGATGGGTCGACTGTGCTAATATATCCAAGATAGGTAGCTATTGTACTCCCATTTGCCAACTATAGATGCTCACAAAACTGGATATTTGATGTGTTTTTTTACATCTGATATTTTGAAGTGTATCGAACAAATATTCTATATATTTTTTATTATTATAAATATATCCATAAAATCCTTTTAATTTATTTGATTTGGAAACTGATTCAAGCTCGTTATATCCACAACAAACAAAATATAGTTTTTATTGCACATGTTATGGTTTGAATTTCAATGACAATAAAAAATTATTCGAGAAAATGATATGTAACTAAGTGAAAATGCGTCAGTTTTTTTGGTGTAAAAAAAAGAAAGAAAATGCGTCAGTTTATATACAACCCATAAGTAGTTTACTTATATTATTGACTAACATATATTTTACATAGAAATCAAATGATATATTAATTAGTTCAAAATTAATAAATTACAGCATGTTTGGGTTTTGAGATTATTTACGAGGTCTAAAATATATTTTTGAGTTAGGGTTTATGCTTTTAAGTGTAGGTGTTAATATTTGAATCTAGAGTTTATATAGTTATATAGGAGTTATGGTAAATATAATAAAAACATATTCACTGCAGTCTATATAGTAAAAAAATAATTCTTTGAAATTACACCATTTTCGGAGTTTGAATTTATTTATAGGATTTGAAGTTTATTTTTTTGGTTAGAAATAAACATTTTGGGTTAAGGTTTAGTATTATTGATTTAGAGTTTGTTATGTAGGGTTTATGATATATAGATTATTATATATATTTTTTTGAACAAACTGTATAGATTATTATATCAGAAGAGTGTTTCTTTGATTTGAGCTAGAGAGGATCCAATCGGCACCGGATACTTTGTTGAATCTCGGAGTTGATGATCGCTTTCGGGCGAGAAATAGAGGAGTGAAGTAGTGAATATCTCTCTTTTCGTATGTAGTTAAAGAAGCTGATGAGAAAGAGTGAAAAGGAAAACTACTAGCCGTTTTTCTTGAATACATGTCATTAATTGTTTTCTGCATCTGCAATGGGTTCAGCTTGAAGCACAATGACGAAGTAACGTCATGATCGGAATCAGATTCGATGTGAGGACAACCATTGTGATCTTTCTAGAATAGCATCAACCACAACCGTATTCAGGAGTAAACTTGTAGTAAGTACGAGGGCTAACATCTCCAGTTAAGCTAGACATGTATTGTTATCTTTAATATCAATCATTTAGAATTTTAGATCGTACAGTTTTCTATCAATGCAAATGCATATGCGCCATACTTTTCAACTACATCTGCACACGTTTCAGTAGCCCCGCCATTAGAATCCTCAAAATATATAGGCAGAAATAGTAATAATACCCTCCACTTAACTAACAATAAAAATCCATTGACTGCATGGAATTTTTATGACACAATTACTTCTGACGCTGAGTCACTGAACATATCATTTTACTATCCATGTGATGATGCATATTAATGCGTCGGGTAAATTTTATTAATTCAAGTGAATTCTCCTCTTTTTTAAAAAAAAATTCTAAATATTATCTTCTTTTTTTGAGAAAAAAGAAAATGTTACAAGAATGTGAGTCCTCCGTAGAACTGTTCCATGGAGAAGGCTTCCATGAAGATAATGCCATGGAGGTAATTTAGACAAAATTTCATCTCCCAAATATTCCTTGTAAAAATATTTTCATTAGGCGGAAAAGAGCAAGATGTGACTGCGTGCAGCTTTTCTTAGTGCATCTATGGGTCCAAAGCCAGCTCAGGTTGGGCCCTTTTGTCTTTAGATTTTGCATGTCTTCAATACATAAAATGATAAAATAACTACTAATTTTTTTTATAATTGTAAAAAAAAAAAAAAGAAATGGAAAGCGGGACATTCCTTTTATAATATGTACGAAAATGTTTATATATTTGAAGTGTGATTGTCACTGCACAACTGATGTGACGTGTTTACACCAAGCTTGTATGTATTGCTCGATGATGACCATTATATATATATTTTTTTTTTTGTCAACAGCTTAAACACCTAGAACGGTTCGACAATCCAAACCGGAGGTACTGAATTTACGTACATAACATCGATAGAGCAGACACGAGCACTTTTTGCTAAGATGCCGGCCTTTGTATTTCTTGCACGTGGGATATATGAAAGTGTGAATGAGTTGAAGCTCTCTTTAATCTTCACAAACTCCTCTGTGTATATAGCAAATGCTAGCCAATCGTTAGGTGTAGACACTATCTTCACCAAATCCAAACAGTTCGTTGCAAAAGCTACCTCTGTCTTATGGTTTCCTATCATGCACAACATAGCCCAAATGAGAGCTTTCATCTCCGTATGAAGAGGTGAAAGACTTCGCCAAACATTCCTCGCTCCCATTATGTTGTCTCTATTTCCATCCTGAAAATAGTACCATCCTAAGCCGGAAAATGAATCCGTATCTTTCCAAGAAGCATCTATATAACACCACCAACTCCCCTGTGTAATAATTCTCGGTTCTGGGGGAAGGTTATCGTGTTGTGGGCCTAGATCGTCCTCTGACCTTTGCGCCTCTTCCCATAAATTCGCTTCAGATACCGCAATTTTTAATGTGATTTGTGGGTCCACATCTAAATTTGAATATACTTTCTCATTTCTCGCTTTCCATATGTACCACGAAATTCCAATTCAGTAGCTATCAGTTCAGAGTAGATCTGTCCAGCAATCCAAGGGAAATGAGTGTCACATATCCCTTTTGGTAGTCTCCAAAAAAGATAATCGAAATTAACGAAAACCGATTCCATCGGAAAAACGCCTAGGGGCGTTGGTATTTGAGATAGAGCCCATGTTTGTAAAGCAGGAGGACACTCAAAAAGAGCATGATTAATGGTTTCCCTCTCTGCCCCGCATCGATTACATTGCGTGTCACATTGTATTCCTCGGGAGCGTAACTGAGCTGCTACTGGGAGGCACCCAGATATTACTTGCCAAATAAAATGTCTTAACTTTGGAGTACATTTTATGTTCCGTGTATGTGCCTGTAGTGCTCTAATATCTGGACCATAAACAACTTCTGTAGGATTATCTGGGAATTGTTGCATTGTTTGATATCCTGATTTAACCGTATATTTTCCTGATTTTGTGAACTGCCATCCAAGTGAGTCTGGACTATAGGTCCTACTAATGGGAATGGCACGAATAATTTCCACGTCACCTGGGTCAATGATAGCATTTATCAAACCCATATTCCACGTATTTGTTAATGGATCAATCAGATGATTAACGATAAGATTCGGGTAATAATTATACCCCTTACAAGTGGCTGATCTCGGGCAAGAGGATGGTATCCAAGGGTCATTCCATACCGAGATAGAACAACCCGATCTAACTCTTTTGATGAGCCCTTTATTAACCAGAGATCTAGCCGAAATAATGCTACGCCATCCGTAAGAAGATGAGTAAGACCGCAAAGAAGGCTCTAAGGGAGATGTATTTCTGTAATATCGCCCCTTAAAAACCCGCGCAAACAGTGATGTTGGTTTATCTAATAATCGCCATAGTAGTTTTGCCAGAAGTGCCGTGTTAAAATCCTCCATCGTTCGAAAACCCATCCCTCCGTTTGTTTTGCTTCGACACATTTTTGGCCATGCAAACCAATGCATT